TAGAATAGAATAGAATAGAATAGAATAGAATAGAATAGAATAGAATAGAATAGAATAGAATAAATATTGGATGAAGAATAGAATAGAAATAGAAGAGAAGAGAATAGAATTTTTTACTGGCCAAGTGTGATTGGACACACAAGGAATTTGTCTTGGTGTAAATACTCTCAGTATACATAAAAGAAAAGATACATTCATCAAGAGTAAGAATCATCAGGTACAACACTTAATGATAGTCAACAGGTACAATAAGCTATCAAATCCTACTAGGAAACAGTCGATATAAATCGTAAGGATACAAGCGACAAAGTTACAGTCATACAGTCACAAGTGAGAGGGGATGAGTAATAAGGAGTGATGAGAAGATTAATAGTAATAGTAGTGCAGACTTAGTAAATAGTTGGACAGTGTTGAGGGAATTATTTGTTTAGCACAGTGATGGCATTTGGGAAAAACTTCCCCTGTGTCTCTAGTTGTTCTGGTGTGCAGGGCTCTATAGCCTCGTTTTGTGGGAAGGAGTTGAAACAGTTTATGTCCAGGATGTGAGGGGTCTGTAGATATTTTCCCTGCCCTCTTTTTGACTCACGCTTATATAGATCCTCAATGGAAGGCAGGTTGGTAATAATTGTTTTTTTTTATGCAGTCCTAATTACTCTTTGTAGTCTCTGAAGTACACACACACACACAAATATCTGCTGATGGCGCTACTTAAATTTATATTTGTGTTTGTATGTATAATGTGGTTTATGAGTGTTGTATGCCGGAATAAGCAATTGCAAGACCCCTGCAGATGTTGTTCCATTGAAAAAGAGATTGATTTTCTTCTTTTAAACTTTTGTCTCTTTCTCTTTCCAACGAATGGAAGGGAGATGTTCAGAAAGTTAGAAAAAGAAACTTTTTCATCCCTGACATTTTGTCACATTTGTTGAAGATTTAATGGAGAGGCAAGATTTTTTTTTACCTGTGAATTGACTCCTAAATGACTTGAATATCTAATTAAAATGTATATATATACATATATATATTTCCCCCATTTTTCCATCAGGTCTGAGAGCAGGCCTCGCTGCCTCCATTGCGGGAAGCTCCATTATTAGCAAAATGTTATTGGCAAATATTGATCCATTCGGCGCCACCCCTTTTATTGATCCTGACCCAGAATCGCTGTAAGAAACAAGTTTAATTCTTGCTCCATTTCTCATTTAATGGGTCTTCTTCTTCTTCTTCTTCTTCTTTTTTAAACAGTATTAATATTCGGTGCTGTTACGTTTATGTATTACTTGGGAGAGAGAGCCTTTAAATGGCAAATCAAAGCAGTAGAATTCTTTCTTATCTGTTTGGTCCTTCCCTCTCAGAACAAAATGGCAGAACTTCTAATTAGTGCAAAGCAGTGGTGGGATTCAAATTTTTGACTACCGGTTCTGTGGGGGTGGCTGGGTGGGCGGGGGGTGGCTTGGTGGGCGTGGCAGGGGAAGGTTACTGCAAAATCCCAAGTCGACCCTTGTTCTTTAGCTGTTCCCTTCCTCGGGCAGCTCTGTGCATGCGCATGCTGGGAACAGGCTCCAGCTGTTCTTCTGCCCCACTGATGTCTAACTCTGAAAGCAGCTGATAATTGCCAATCTGCCCTGGCCCCATCTCTGCCTCCGACACAGAGCACTTGTCATAGCCTTCCCCAAACTCCAGGACTGGCCCAACCTCCTCACTGTCCGACACTGCTCCCAGCTCTGCTGGCCGCTGGCAGGCCGAACATACAATTCCCCCCTGTAGGATAAGATAAAAGGTTTGGGATTGCTCTAAGAAGGAAGCTTAGAACTGGGCTGTTGTTTGTATCCCTGTGCGTGCTTCTTCTGTGTGCTATTACCAACATGAGTTGTGCATTTATGTATAGGGAAGGCTATTCAGAGAAGTGCGTCATGAACAATTATTTCGGTATCGGATTAGATGCGAAGATTTCACTAGAGTTTAACAACAAGCGGGAGGAACATCCTGAAAAATGCAGGTGAGTCTCAGTGAAGGTTTGAAATAGTCCTTGCTTATACATTTGTAACAAACTAGAGCTAGTCCTCAACTTACAACCATTTGTGTCATGCCCTTGTTGGAATCTGACTCGGAGGGGGAAGCTGAAGAGCTGAGAGGGAGTGGGAGTCTGGCTCCGTTGGCTGTGAAGGAAACTGGGGAAGGGCAAGTCCGGCTGGGCAGAGCAGGGGAGAGGGAGAACAAGGGAGAGAGAGTTCAGAGGAAGACCCAAGCCCATCCCCTATTCATCCTTGGGCACACAGGGTGGAACAGAAAAGAGAGCAACGTGGGTCATGTGGCTTACAGGGGAGGAAAGGGTCCTGATTCCCTTCATTAGCTGCTACTGGGAACACAATGTATAAAACAAGAAGCTGTGCACAGGAAGGTGTTGGGAGCAAACGTGACTTTATCCCTGTGTTGTCCTGGCTTATCTGTGTTCCTGTCATCTTCCCAACTGTGTGAGTTTTGCCATGCTTCCAAATCTGAAATTCCTTCTCCTGCCCTGTCAAGTTAATTACTTCAGTTTGGTTTGTCTGGAGATTAAATTACAGTTTGTGTGTATCTTGTTTTGGACTGAATTTTCTGCAGCCAAAGGCTGTTCCTGGGAGAGTTTTTCTCCAGCCAGAAGGTAACCTGGACTTTGGGGGCAAAGTTGGAGATAATAAAGGGACTCCTATGGATTATCTGACTGTGTTGCCTTTGTGCCACGCCCCTTTGGGTCATCACCATTTAGTGACTGTTCGAAGTTACAACAGCACTTTTGACCATTTTTTAACACTTACGACCATTCCAGCATCCCCACGGTCACGTGATCAAAACTCAGAGGCTTGGCAACTGGCATGTACTTATGACAGTTGCAGTGTCCTGGGGATCCCCTTTTGCGACCTCCAGGCAAACAAAAGTCCATGAGAAAGCCAGACTCACTTAACGACCATGTTACTAACTTAACAACTGCATGGATTCGCTTAACCGTGGCAAGAAAGGTTATAAAATGGGCAAAAGTCACTTCAGAATCCAAAGGTTGTTCTTGCTTAGCTGGGCTCACTTGTAGTCGTAGGTTGTGTGTGTAGGAAGGGAGTTGGTGTCTTACTGAATGTTTCTATTCTGATCCAACCTGGTTCCAAGAGAGCAAACACGAGACAGCACAACCTTTTACTGTTTCATTTACAAATCCTATTTCTTCAGAGATAAAAGGCTGCTTCCAACTAATTAGCTCTGACAAAAAAGAGCTTGCCAGGTTGTTTGTCAAGGCTGCCAAAGACCCAGAGATAAGAACTAATTTACAAGAGTTTTCAAATACTAACTATGATGTCCATGAGGCTGAGCTTCAGAGCTTCAGAGCGTCTTTGCCTTCTGCAAAGAACGTTTCTTCAAACCTGGATTTTTATCCTCTTGAGGGAGGGGACATTACCTTGCAGCCTTACTCCCGAATTGCCTGTGCTGCTGCAATTGTTCTTTCCTCTGAGTAATCCTTCATGCACGTGCACTTGGCACAGGCTCCTCGGGAACCTCCTCATCGCTGCTGCCAGCCCCCACAATCTCCGAAGGCAGCAGTCCACTCCCTGATGGTCCTGGCCCCTCATCTGAGTCCTCGCTCTCCTCAGCCGTCCGCACCTGCTGCTGGCTAACCACAACAGTTTCTGATCTTTTAATTCCAGGCCTTTTAAGGTTTAATCACTGTTTTTCCTTTTAGAAGCAGGACCAAGAACATGATGTGGTACGGAGTCCTTGGTACTAAAGAATTGTTACAACGGACTTACAAAAACTTAGAGCAGAAAGTTCAACTCGAGGTAAGGCTTACACTCCCCTGACACACCGTTTGTCTCATGTCCCTCCCCGGAAGCGAATTGAATCTCGACATTTGGGTGATATTTCGGGTGGATTTTAGTTGTAAAAGTTGACTGCACCTTGTTGCTGTTGCACCTTGTGAGGACAAAATATATAACGTAGACAAAAATCCGGCCGGGTACAGCACTCAGTGGTGGGATTCAATTTTTTTTTTTACTACCACTTATGTGGGTGTGGCTTGGGTGTGGCTTGGTGGACATGGCTTTGTGGGCATAACAGGGAAAAGTTACTGCAAAATCCCCCTTCCCACTCCACTAACCTACTTTCCAGCTCCGTTCTCCTTTGCAGGGCAACAAAAGAAGATCCAGCCAATCAGCTGGGACTCAATGGGAGTCAGAGACTAGATGGGGGTGGGGCCAGTCAAAGGTGGGATCGGCCGGTTCTCTAAACTACTCAACATTTCTGCGACCAGGTCGCGAGAACCGGTCAGAACCGGCTGAATACCACCTCTCAATGTACAAGCACAATGTAGCTTGCATTCTAACCGCTGCACCACCAGGGCTCTTATAAGTTAGATTTCAAGTCTAACCGATATCTGTAATTAGTGGAAACTCCAGTATTTTCTGTCATTATTTATACAGTGTTTTATACCTTGCAGTGCGACGGACAATATATCCCTCTTCCTAGCCTTCAAGGCATAGCTGTTTTGAACATCCCAAGCTACGCCGGTGGGACAAATTTCTGGGGTGGAACCAAGGAAGATGATGTAAGTCTTGCTCTTCAGGTTATTTGCTTCTCAAGTCCCTAACCCTAACCTTCATATCCACGGACATGAACTGTTTCACAAAAGGAGATCATGTGGGACATTGTAACCGTCATAAATATGAGTCAATTGACAAGCGCCTGAATTTTGATCACGTGACCTGCAATTGATCATAAGTGTGAAAAAGGGTCATAAGTCATTTTTTCCAGTGCCGTTGTAACTTTGAACGGCCGCTAAACAAACACTTGTAAATTGAGGTCTACGTGTATTGAGATCCCAACCTTGTGAATAGTAACTCTTTCAAATACTTTGATAGTGACCTTTAAAGCTACAGTTCCGTTCCAAACCTCCACCTTCTCTGATATTTACGCAATGCTGATTTAGATCCTGGAGTGAAAGATCTAATCCTTGAATGACATCAGGGATGGAATGCAATTATTGAAATGTCAAATGTGAGTTGTAGGGCATAAAATATTTTTTAAACAAAATAAGAATTGAGTGGAGTACAGCAGAGCAGAGCAGAGCAGAGCAGAATAGAATATTGGAATGGAATAGAATAGAATAGAATAGAATAGAATAGAATAGAATAGAATAGAATAGAATAGAATATTGGAATCAAATCGAATAGAATAGAATATTGGAATCAAATTGAATAGAATAGAATTACAGAGTTGGAAGGGACCTTGTAGGCTATCTAGTCCAACCCCCCACCCAAGCAGGAGACCCTATACCATTTCTGACAGACAGCAGTCCAGTCTTTTCTTGAAAGCTTCCAGTGATGAAGCTCCCACCACTTCCGAAGGCAACTTCTGTTCCATGGGTTGATTGTTCTCACTGTCAGGAAATTCCTCATAATTTCCAGATTGAATCTCTCCTTGGTCAGTTTCCATCCATTCTTCCTTGTCTGGCCTTCAGGTGCTTTGGAAAATAGCTTGACTCCTTCCTCCCTGTGGCAGCCCCTCAAATATTGGAAGACTGCTCTCATGTCTCCCCTGGTCCTTCTCTTCCCTAGACTAGCCAGGCCCAGTTCCTGCAAGCGTTCTTCGTATGTCAGCCTCCAGTCCCCTAAAATCATCTTGATTGCTCTTCTTCTCCAGATCTTCGGAGCGCCATCGTTCGATGATAAAATCTTGGAGGTCGTGGCGGTTTTTGGCAGCATGCAGATGGCCGTTTCCCGCGTGATCAAGCTCCAGCATCATAGAATAGCCCAGGTTGGTGTGGTACCCAGAAAGAAGGAAATGAGAGCATTGCCTATATCAGGGATTCCCAACCTGTGGGCCGCGGCCCACTCCCGGGCTGTGAACCATTCAGAACCAGGCCGTAGAAACGACAGACGAGCACATGAACCACCATCCCAATTTGAGCAAGCAGCGGGCAATTTTTTTTTACTACCAGTTCTGTGGCCATGGCTTGGGCATGGTGTGGCTTGGTGGGCATGGCTTTGTGGGCATGGCAGGGGAAAGGTACTGCAAAATCTCCATTCCCTCTGGACTCCTGGGGGAAATTTATTGCAAAAATCCCCCTTCCCTTCCCACCTTGTTAACCTGCTTTCCAGCTCTGTTCTCCTGTGCAGGGCAACAAAAGGAGACCCAGACGATCAGCTGGGACTCAGGAAACAGAGCATAGATGGGGGCGGAGCCAGTCAGAGGTGGTATTTGTCAGTTCTCCAAACTACTCAACATTTCCATTACCGGTTCTGTAGAACCGGTTCGAACCGGCTGAATACCACCTCTGCTTTCTTCCCTCCTTCCTTCTTTCCTTCCTCCCCTTCCTTCCTTCCTCTCTCCCATCATCCTCCCTCCCTCCCTTCCCTTTCTCCAGTGGTGGGATTCAAATTTTTTTTACTACCATTTCTGTGGGCATGGCTTGGTGGGCCTGGCAGGGGAAGGTTACTGTAAAATCCCCATTCACTCCCCACCCCACTAACCTGCTTTCCAGCTCCGTTCTCCTGTCCAGGACAACCAAAAAAGACGCAACCAATCAGCTGGGACTCAATGGGAGGCTGAGAATAGATGCGGGGCAGGACCAGTCATAGGCGGGATTTGCCGGTTCTCCAAACTACTCAAAATTTCCTCTACCGGTTCTCCAGAACTGGCCATTTTCTGTATCTTGTACACAATCTTGGATTTATAAACTGTACAGATGCAGAGAGATAACTCCACAAGACGTCCATAACAAAGAACATTTATTGGTTCATCGGGTATCCTCACAACTCACGTTTGGGACGACGTTCTTCTTTGATGACCAATCCTTTGCATATCTGCCTTGTAGTAAAAGATGGTTATCTCCTAACCCGTCTCGTAGCGCTAGAAAGAAGATGCCATGTGTTAAGAGAGTTCAGACGAAGAATGAGGGAAACCTCCCGCAACCCACCAAGGGTCAATCCAATCAGGATTACAGATGTGGTCACGTGACATGGACTACATTTCCCAGGATGCCTTTAACTACATTTACCAAGATGCATTCCCTTAAGGGGACAGCTCATAATTCCTCAGTAATTATCCAATTCCCATACACTGGCTGGGACAGCGCAGGCCAGAACCGGCTGAATACCCACCTCTGGTCTGGAGAGGAGCCACCGTGCTGCGTGGAAATCTGCTTAAGAGTCTTCCAGCTTGCTGAAATCTCTTGACTCTTTTTTTCCAGTGCCGGGCTGTGAAGATCACCATACTGGGGGATGAAGGAGTTCCGGTTCAGGTCGATGGGGAAGCTTGGATTCAGCCCCCGGGGATCATTAAAATCGTGCACAAGAACCGAGCGCAGATGCTAACGCGAGACAGAGTACGTCGGTGGGGGAGAAGCAGGGGGGCGTCATTCTCCCAAACACACAGCGACCATAATAATAAAAAAAAGAGCAGAGATAGTACAGGGAGTCCTCGGCTTACAACAGTTCCTTTAGTGACCGCATGGTCAGTGGTGAAAATGTAGATGCTCGGCAGCTGACTCATATTTATGACGGTTGCAGAGTCCCCTTTGGCAACCTTCTGATCGGAGGAGTATAAACCCACTGGTTTTAAAACCAGTTTTTAAAATTAAATCAGTTTCTCAAAT